GAGGGATTAGTTTAACTAATATACTATCTAAAATACTAGCCTCGATAATTTTCGGACGCCTAACTAAGACTCGTGAACTGCAAACACGTGAAAATCAGGCTGGCTTCAGACCTGGTCGTGGCTGCATCGACCACATATTCACCATTCGTCAGATTCTAGAACACAGGCATACTTATCGTCGTCCGACAATGGTGGTATTCCTTGACTTAAAAGCAGCATTTGACTCTGTTGACCGAGAGGTTCTGTGGCAGTGTCTGTCATTGGAAGGCGTACCTAAGAAGTACATAAACCTTGTGAAAGCTCTTTACTCGAACACTACTAGTCGAGTGAGAGCTTATGGCGAACTGTCATCCACTTTTGAAACCTCAAGTGGTGTCCGTCAAGGCTGTCCACTTTCTCCATTTTTGTTCAACTTCATCATAGACCTCCTGATGTAAATAACGCTCTCATCGACTGAATTCTCGGGTATTGATCTCCTACCAGGAGGTCCACTTATTGACTTAGAATATGCGGATGACATAGTCCTGTTTGGTGAAGACGCTGATGAAATGCAGATTCTTTTGGTAGCACTGAACAACAATGCCAGAATATTTGGGATGCGCTTCTTTCCCTCTAAATGCAAGTTGTTGCTGCAGGACTGGTCTTCGTCAACACCTGAACTAAGGATAGGGAGTGAAGTAGTCAAACGCTTTGACAACACCACTTATCTTGGAAGTGTGATCAGCCCTAATGGGTTGGTGTCTGACGAAATCTCAGCACGGTTTCGAAAAGCTCGTTTGGCCTTTGTCAACTTACATCATCTATGGCGAAGGCGAGATATCCGTCTATCAATTAAGGGACGAGTATACTGCGCGGCAGTTCGTTCCGTTCTACTATACGGCTGCGAAACATGGCCTTTAAGAGTAGATAATACTCGTAAGTTACTAGTATTTGACCGTAGATGCCTTAGATATATTGCGGGTATGTGCTGGGATCACCGGGTAAGTAATAGTGAGGTTAGACGCAGGGTATTAGGGAATGATGGTAAATCAGTTGATGAGGTTGTAAATCTTCATCGACTGAGATGGTTGGGCCACGTGTTGCGTATGCCTGAACACCGATTACCAAGACGCGCAATGCTAACCGGTGTTAGGAATGATTGGAAGAAAGTTCGGGGCGGCCAAACCAAAACGTGGCATCAGTGCTTGAAGTCACTAATTTCTAGTTTGAGCCAAAAATTGGTAGATGCAGACTACTTGGTTGGGGTCCGCGTGACTATCGTAACCAATGGTTGGAGACTCTGTGTGACATGGCTCAGAATCGATTACAATGGCGTCGGTGTATACACTCTCTGTCTTCCTTTAAACTAAGAGATTAAAATAGCTTCATTTCTTTCTACCAACTAATTCTTTCTTCCTGTATTATGCCCTTATACACAATCTTTCTTTTATATATTACTACCATTAAATTAACTGTATCTATGAATCCGGTGTTCATCTTGTTGTGCTAATGCGGTATGGCAACTTGGACCGATGTATATACGTGCCTGGTCCTACGTTGCAGCTGACTAACTGACTGACTGATGTAGATATCCCAAAAATACAGCAATGATAATAAAGAAGATTAAATATTGTGAATATGATTTAATATGATGAAATGAAAAGTAAAAGTGATTGCCTCTAACCATCATAACCGATTTTAAAGCATATCCATTCAATTGATATCATAGTTTGTCATGAATTTATTAATGGATAAATTCAATAGCTCAGTTAAAGGTATTATAGACAATATCAGGGTTTTGATAAGCTAAAAACAATCAGTACGTACAAGCTTGACAAGATAGATCATGATATATGTAACGAAATTAGACATTGAATAGTTAATTATCTATCTGACTATACTACTTAATTGATGAAATAAGCAAAATATGTATAGTCCTGATATGATGAGAGGAAAAATCAATATTTGATTGTTTTACTTAATATGAGTTTTATTTATCATTACATCCGTTTTGATTCAATGTAATGATTACGCAATGTAATATTTCTTTTCTTTTCTCGTATGATCTTTTTCTTCTGTATCATATACAATATTCTTGTATTCCATTGACTATGAACTATACTCAGCATATGATTTGTTATAACTGTGAGTATTTTTCATGTATGTGATTTTATTCTAATTATTAATCAACCAACCAGCTTCCAGCTGAAGAGGAAATTAGGAAAAGACGATGGAAATGGATAGGACATACATTGAGGAAATCATCAAACTGCATTACGAGACAAGCGCTAACTTGGAATCCTGAAGGGAAGAGGAAATGAGGAAGGCCAAAGAACACATTACGTCAGGAAATAGAAGCGGATATGAAAGGGATGAATAAGAACTGGAAAGGATTGCCCAGGACAGGGTTGGATGGAGAATGCTGGTGAGCGGCCTATGCTCCTTCACGAGGAGTAACAGGCGTAAGTAAGTAAGTAATTAATCAAAACGGGTGTACAATCAATATATAAATGAGTATATTTTCTACTAAAGAGACTTCGCTCTTTTCTCTGGTTGCTGCAGAATACACTTCGCTCATTTCAAGCTTGGACTTCTCCCTCTAGATAGCGGGGCTGGGGCGCAGCAATACCTAGCTTACTGGACCTTGATCATCGAGTTTCGTTCTTGTTCGCAATCTAAGTGAACTCGTTAAGCTTCAAACATAACAAGTCCAAATATTATCATAACAATCCAATTCATATTAACTAGAATATCGGCTTAAACACACTGTTATAACTTGTGGCCTGAGTGCCCTGTTAATGTATTACGTAACGGTACTACTAGTCACAGAGCAGCGAATTATCGACCGGATCAATGACGTGTAAACACGTACGAGCAGTCTATAGTCCTGCATCTTACATAATCCAGCCTGTTAAGTCCAGAAAATCAATCTCAGCCTCTGTGATATAAATCATTTATTTCAAACATACGGGGTTTATATACCAATCAGACAGACCACATCGTACCAATAAAATAGGATACAACATTCGTACAAGATTTAGCCAAATGTGGCTGTGAATGTGGGAGGTAGTAATTAATACGCATAATTCAAGAATGGTAAAACGTATAATAATGGTTCATAGATCAAAATAAGGCTCATAATAATATGTATAGTTTAGTTATTTAACAATTATACGATAAAAATATACGTTTAGTATTGATCCATAAATAGATCCCAAAAGTTACCATTCATTATGCTTATCGGTAAATGAATAATTATAAGTAAACAACACTTCTGTGCACTACTACTAACGAACAATTTAAACATCTAGTCCAGAAGCAACAAATTGCATTTAGAGGGAAAGAAGCGCATCCCAAAAATTCTGGCATGGTTGCTCAGTGCTACCAAGAGACTGTATTTTATCAGTGTCTTCACTAAACAGGACTATATCATCTGCGTATTCCAAGTCCATAAATGGACCTCCAAGTAGGAGATCAATGCCGGCAAATTCAGTCGACGAGAGCGTTATTTCCATCAGTAGGTCTATGATGAAGTTAAACAAAAATGGAGAAAGTGGACAGCCGTAAGCTCTCACTCGACTTGTAGTGTTCAAGTTAAGACCCTTCACAAGGTTTATGTACTTTTTAGGTACGCCTTTCAATGACAGACACTGCCACAGAATCTCGCGGTCTACGGAGTCAAATGCTGCTTTTAGGTCAAGAAAAACTATCATTGTCGGACACCGATAAGCAAGCCTGTGTTCGAGAGCCTGAAGAATGGTAAATGTGTGATCGATGCAGTCAGCCTGATTTTCTCGTGTTTGCAGTTCACAGATCATAGTTAGGCGTCCGATAATTATTGACGCTAGTATTTCAGATGATATATTAGTTAGCCTAACCCCTCTATAGTCGTCATTAATTAAGAAACCAACAATTTGAGACTGAAAAAAAAATTGAACTGCGATCTAATTAGAGTAGGATGATGAACAGAGCATTTCAAGGAACAGTCGATTTGGTCTTCAGATACCTCACTGAACTATATTCTTGTTAACATTAGAATGTCAATCTTTATCAATAATTTGAAGAATTACATCACATAGTGATTAAAGCTAAAAGTCTAGTGATTTACAGAGTAGAGTATTACCTAAGATGCATAGTATATATAGTATAGTACACTTCAAACCAAAACGTGACATCAGGGCTTGAAGTCACTAACTTCTGATCTGAGCCATGTTGGTAAATGCATACTACTTGGTTGGGGTCCGCGTATCTATCGTAACCAATGGTTGAAGACTCTGTGTGACATGGCTCAGAATTGATCACAATGGTGTAGGTGTCTTCCCTTAAACTATAAGATTAAAATCGCTTCCTATCTTTCTTTCTACGAACTAATTCTTTATTCCTGTTGTTGGGGTATTCAGAAAATACCCCAGAAATTACTATTCCTGAATAAGAAGTAGTGTCATTTCCCCATTGGTCAACATTCTTCCAACGTGTCATCTCCTTATTGGTCAATATTTATTTGTGTCATTTCCTGAAGGTTAAATCTTGTACAAATGTTACTTTCTATTTTATGGTACGATGTAGTCTGTTTGTTTGGTATATAAACAGTGTATGTTTGAAATATAACGATTCATATCTCCGAGGCTGAGACTTGTGTTCTGGACTCAATTGGCTGGGCTAGACAGGGAAGCAGGACCAATCAGAGCTCTAGGCTGCTCACACGTATTTTATGCGTCACTGTTTCGATCGATAATAGGCTGCTCTCCAATAGGCGGATCATACGTTATAACACCTGTACTATCTCCTTATACAAAATCTTTCTTTTATATACTACTACTATTGATGTGACTACTTCTATGAATCCGGTGTTCATCTTTTTGTGTTATTGAGGTGTAGCAACTTGGACTGACAGATATATGTGCCTAGTCCTACGTTGTAACTGACTGATAGTAGATCTCCGTATTAACATTAAACCAGATAAAGCTTTTATTCAATTAATCGCTATATCATTTCAAATGTCTATAAAATAGAAAACAAGAATATTTTAAAATGAATAATATATATTTCATTAATAGAATCAATTGAATTATATACAATCTATTAATTTTCTTGGTGGTATTGCATATTTTAAACTTTCTAACCAAGTTTTTGTACCGGATAATACAGGACATAATGCTTGAAATACATGTAATGTAGATAAAACAAATCGACCTTCAATATGTAAATTAATTTCTTTTAATGGTAATCTAGCTGTTCTATGACCACGTTCTATTGCTTGTTGATAACAATATCCTTTTAAACTATTATGATCAATTAAACCACCAATAACATAAATATCATCTTGAGTAAAATATACATTCTTATCATTATGGATTAAATCATTAAATGGATATTTTATATTGAATTGTTCCGGTAAAAAATATTCGGATTCAGCGCATAAATAAACAATTTTATCAGCTGAAAATAGTTTAGTATAATCATCCTATAAAAATAAACAAAAATGTTTGTTTATAAAAGTAGAAATCATTTTTTAAAAAAATATTAACAGTAAACAATAATATCCGTAAATTATGTCTACAGGTTAGGTGTTCGCGCTTAAGACAGAAGGTTCTGGGTTCGAACCCCATATGTGAGATCGTGGGTGCACACTGTTATGATTTGATGTCCGGCTTACGATCATGTGACTTATACACCAATCAGAATACGGCTTATACGAATATTCGCACTATGACAAGACCAATGACGTTCAATCGGTCTGAGCAGTCTAGCGTCCTATTGGGTCCTACGTCCTTCTAACCTGTCCTCTTGAGTCCAGAACACAAAAGCAGCTTCCGAATCAACCAAAATCGAACCAAATCATTTATTTCAGACATACTCGGTTTATATATCAATCAGGCAGACCACACCGTACCATAAAATAGAAACTAACATGTGTACACAAATAGGCCAAAAAGTGACTGTGAATGTGGGAGACAGTAATTAATAGACAGGTTATAACTCAAGAATAATAAATCGTATAGTAATAATCTGTGGGTCAAAATAAAGCTTATAATAAGTGGAATATAAATACACATAATGTAATTCTTGAATAATTATACAATAAGAATATTTATAGAATATTTGTCCATTAATAGTCCTCAAAAGTTACCTGTAGTTTAATCTTCACTGGTATATAACACACACTTCTGAAGAGTTTCACAATAGGACATAACAAGTGTTCAGTGTTTTTTTGATGAAGTTTTGTTCTCTGAACTGGATGATTTGGTTGTGGAGATTTCATTGTTCTTCTAAACGATATCATCATCAGTTCTACGATGAAAGCTCCATGACAAAACTATTCAGTTCAGAGAAGAAAACTCCATCAAAATCATCCACTTGAGTTATGAATTTTTTTCCACCATCTCAAAATCATATGAATGTAGTACGCTTCTCGTTGTTCGAAAATGGGAAAATTTCGCCAAAAGGCAGATTTCCAATCGAGAACAACCGTCTTCGTTAGCATATTCTACCAACAAGTGTAAGATACAGATCTCCAATCAACTGATCAGTGGGATGAAGAATAGTTGAGCAAAGTGGAAGAAAAATGGTACAATTATTGATAAGCATTCAGTGTTTTCAGGTTTTCAATGATGGTGATCGATTCATGATCTTACTCCAAAAATTTAACAATCTCCACAACCCCATTCTTATGAGAACTCGTAGGTTACTCATTGATCGAGTTATCACCACCTAATTGGAACTTATTTATAGTGATTAAGATGTTGTTAGTGAATGTTTGAATATAGATATCTGAATAAAGTTTTATAAATATTTGATTCCTTAAATCGATATTAAGATCAGATAGTGAATATCTGCCATTGTATGAGAAAGAATAAAGAAATTCTTTATTGAAATAACGTATTGTAGAATTATTCTTTGTCTTTAGAAGATCTATTTTGATTCTTTTCAGTTGATAATCACTGATAGATTCATAAATGATCGTCTATTTTCTCTTTAACTAATATGATTCACAAACATTTGCAATGGCATAGGTGTCTTCACTACTTTGTCTTTCTTTAGATACCTTAGTTTCTAAATTATCGTATTGGCTTTTTTTTGTTCTATCATTCCGCTAATCCATATTTCTTTACTCGGATCATATCTCTTATTTATGTCTAGTCTTTTTTATCACCACTAATATTATTATTATCTCTACTACTCGGGGATCTGCCCTATACGCTATTAGGAATGCAACAACTTAAACCGACATATGTCTTAGATTGTGTTTGACTGACTGACCTCTATAATACGGTGTGTATTTTTTTCTTACACATTTCATTGTCCTAATATCATTTGTCACTTTCTATGTTCAATTTTCATTACAATTCATATAACAAATTCAATGTTTTTTCTTTGGTTTACATCATTTGCATTAATTTCACCTCACATGATACCGACGTGAAATAAGGCAATTTATATCGATATGAATTCGTATAAGGTTATGTAGATACACTAATCTATCACATGTTGGTAATCAAAGTTTTGTTCTACCAGTCAATTCATCTAATGAGACCGATTAGGTGGAATGATTTAGGATTGTGGCTTATTTTGATAAGCTAAAACACTTTTCCAGTATACTGTGCATTTAACAGATCGAATAATAGGTTTCCTCGGTATACCGCTCTTTGCAAAAAAATTATATTAAGAAAATAATTATCGAAAATCAATAAATACTGTCTAGGGCTCTTACAAAGTAAACGTTATTGTTAGATGGAGATAGTCAACAGGGTAGTGACCAATCAATTGTGATTACATCTCAGTCCTACAGGAGGTAGGTCGCGGCCTGACTGTGAAGCTGGGTGACACAGGATCGAATCCGTCAGCGAGCACCAGTTCCCTCAAGATTACAAGTACACCTTGCTGACGAGTGACAAGTAGCACGAAACCCGGGTCCAGGGTTTCCTGTTAAATACGTCCAACCACCATCTAATCTCAACATAGTGCACGCAGTGTCGAGTCACCTAGACTAGTGACCGCATTGCAACTTGGTCGATAACATTCGATCTGCACTAAGAAGGACTTGACACACATGACATTGATCACCGCCTAGTAATCAATCAAGTGTAAACGTTATTGTCTCTGTATAGTAGATCGAACATCCAACCTAAATGTGTTGATGATATTAATTTCATATCGATTTTATACACCCTAGTTCAATGGATAAAATAACCTCAACATCATAAACCTAAAAGTTCGATATTTGGATAAGTTGAGTATACTGTTTGACAATACCATACATCAAATTCAAAAAATGTCAATACATTGGATTAACTCCTTTCAAAAGTTCACTCTCTATGTGTAAATTTACATCATCTCATCAAAAGATAAACATATGAGGTTAAATTTACATTTTATTGAAAAAGCATCTATAAACTAACTTACCTCACATAGATTTACATCCCAACTGTCACAGTTGCTTAACTTTAATCTATCATATAATCGGGTAGATTTACATTTATCTACAGATAACAAATTATCTTTATCATTGATGTTAGTCTCTGTGGTGTTATTGGAACCTAAACCGGTGATATAAAGTTGAACTGGATGTTTAGCACGTCTATTGATAGAATAACAATTAGCAACCTAGAGGGTATAAAAATTAATCATCATAAAAATTCATCATAACAATCCATGAAATAAATGAATCTGAAATTAGTAGATTCCTTAGTTTTCTTACTTACTTACTTACTTACGCCTGATATTGCGTGTGAGATAGAAGAGCCAGATCGTCTGCGAAGCCTAGATCACTCACTTGCATCCTAGCTGTCCACTGTATCTCATGCTTCCCTCCAGATGTTGATGTCTTCATGATTCAATCGATCACTATTAACCGTAAAGCAAGTTACTAATATGAAACCACTACTCTTCTTGCCTTTATACACTAGAGACTTTCATAGGCTAGTCCAATAAATTATTTCTCGTTAGTAGACTACACCATGCCCCCAAATAGCCTGGTACGGCCGACAGTGAAGAGAGTCCACTCTCCCTGTCGAAATGCTCTCACATGGTCACGCGTATATAGTCCCTTCCAGGGAAGTCCTACTAACTATCTTCTCAAACTACGGGTGTTGTTTACGAAATTCAGAGGACGAAAAGCGAACATTCGGCGAATTAACCGGGTTGGTGGACACGGAGAGTTCATCAAGGGGAGTTGGAAAACCCTCATCCCAAACCAATGGTGCACATGGGCTCCAGTATCCTGAGGGAACAAATGGCGTATGAACCAATCGTTGGTCACCGGCTACCATGGGACTGTATCTCTTTACGATGCTCCACTGCCTTGTAGATTAGATCTTTAGGTGGAAGGCTCTGAGTGTGCTCCCCCCCCTCTAAGAAAAGCACCTGTTTCGGTTTGGGCACTCGAGCAGTATCACAGCCCTCACACAAATCAAATGAGATTTGTGTGGTGCATATGTATTTGGTGCCTCCTTGTACCGATATTTATGTTTTCAAATAAATAAAATAATAAGACTATACCATTATCTAATAACGAGACTTAAATTAAAGAGATATGTTTATGATAAATTCTAAAAGAAAAACCAAACTCTTCAACATTCATTTGATTTCAGCTATGATGTAACTCGATACTAGTTTATTTTGAAGATTTATAAATAACAAAGAAAAAAAGGATACTATGGTGTATGTTACTTATATTGACAGATATAAGTAGTATATAACACTAGTCAGAAGTGGAGTGCATACCTGCAAAAGATTGAAACGAATAGGAAAGAAAAGAATATTGAAAGCAATCAAACTAACAAAAGGAATGAAGATTATAAGAGACAACTGATGGAAGATATGCAAACGATGTGTTCAATGTATGATTTTCATCGTTTACGAAAGTATTCTGTAATCTTTTCGTTCACTACAATACTAAAATTAGTAAGAAAGCTGTAGATAAAAAGATATAAGGTGTAAAAGATTTTGTGAATGATAAAGAATAGACAAATCTGTACTATCATAATCAATTTTACGCATTACCTTTCAGATTGATTCTCAATATTTCAAAGAATTAAACAAAACGCAGAGAGACTAATCACCTGATAAATTTAAGAATGAAATAGCCTACTCTTTAATTGGAGTCACCAGTAGTACAACGTGTAACACAAATTCGAATAGAATAAATCAATTTCAGGTTCACAATATTATTGATCAAATCACTTTACTTAACTGATAACACACATTTTTTGTTAGATTTGCTATTACATAGTATTTCTTGTATATTACATCGTCCAACTCAGCGGACAGAACTCCACCTGAGCTACAAAATCCTCTTGACAATCATAAAATTAAATAAGCGTAACACACTTTTTGTTGATTGAAAAGAGAAGAATTATGTCAGAAGCCAGGCTTTCATAAGAGAACACCTTTACTTATTTCATAAATATTTTCTTCAATATGTTTTTGTTGGGAATGTTACATCCTCAGAACTCACTTGCAAAAAGACCTAATTTTGTAATTTTATTTAGAAAATTTGAATTGTTTTCGCGCCAAAAGCGCTCTTTTCACCTTCATGTCGTATTTCCCACTTGGGAGAATTTTAAACGCTATTGGTCCATTGTGTCTTTTAGTATGCTATTTTGTAACGCTTCGCCAGGACGGTTTTATGCTGTATATATACGTTTTGATTTGTGTCTGTTGTTATCACTCGTGCTTCTGGATTTTTGCGGAATATACTTCCCCGTTCGTAATTCGACTTCTCTCTCTAGTTAGAAGGGCTTGGACGCAATAGAATAGCTAGTTTATTGGTCTTTGGTCACAAGTCTTTGTTCCGTTTGCAGTGTAAGTGAACCCGTAATGGATTCAAACCTAGTAGTTATGTTAACACGCGGTTAAACTATCCAGATTAGAGAAACACACCAACTGAAACTCTTCCCAAATCAGAACAAGAATGCATGGGAACAAGATATATCCGAATGAACTAGAACAACAAACATGTGACGTAAAGAATATAAGAGTATCGAGTATCTTTTCAAACAGCTAGAAACGAGCTAATCAGCGTGCTACAACTTAATGATAACTTAATATTAGTTTACAAATTTAAGTTTATTACTATTATCATTCTGCAGCAATTTGGAAAACTCTCCCAGTCTCCCACATTGTACGAGCAGCATTCCATGTACCTAAATAAATGGTTGCTCTGGTTGTCAAAAGGGGCATCGGCCTCGTGACTTCCGAAGAAACTCGGCTTTCATCATGAGGCGTCATAACTTTTCTAAATGAAGACCTTCTAACTCCCAGGGCAGAGTTTAAATGGTTTGAGTTATTTTTTATGGTTAGCGTTTTTTAGCGAGTTAGTTTTCTACGGGATGGGGTCGCTAACTCCATGCCGAACCCTCCTCCTTTATCCGGGCTTGAGACCGGCAGTAGCCTCCGGAGGGATTCCAGGCGCAGTTTTATTATCATTACTATCATTATTATTACAATTATCATTAACAAAGTAATGGGTAATGTATACATAGTATCAAATATATTTTTAAAAAACTATGAATATGGATCTATGTATTATATATACTTACTTGACTAGCTAATTTACAGATATCTTTGAATGACATCAAATGATCATAGGCACAATCAATGACAACTTTAGTTTGACACAATGATTCTGACATTTTTAAACGTTGACATTTGTGTGTATTAAAAGCATTAATTGGCATTGAAAGATTATTTTCTGTCGTTATACAAGTATCATTATTCACATCATGAAACACGCAAGATGATTGTTGTTGCTGTTGTTGTTGCTGCTGTTGTTGTTGTTGTTGTCGAAGTTTACGACGTTCTTTATACGCTTTCCTTGTTACACGTCTTGCCTATTTATATAATGAGAAAAAACAAATTTTTTTATTTTCTAGATAAATCTAATTATATTTTATAAAAATTACTTCTTTACGCTTTAAATATTGATCCAATTTACGATTTGCTCGTTTCGATATACTTTCTTCATTAGTTATAGATGTAGTTTCCTTGAAAAAAAAAATGAAAAAAATTAGAGAAAAAAAGGTGATATTTAGCCAATTAAATATCAATTAATACACTTCTAAGAATAAAACAATTTGATAACCAATATCTGCAATACCATTGTCTACAAACAAAATGATGGAGGAAGTTAGAAAACGTTTGATATCCCCTGGTATGACCGAGAGTGTGGAGAGTCAGTCCACCCTCTAGAAATGCTCTCACATAGCCACGTGCATACAACCACTGCCAGAGAAATTCTACTCATTGAAGGAACAAATGGTGTATGAACTAATCGTTAGACACCGGCTACCATAGGATGGCATCTCCTGACGCTGTTCCACTGCCTTGTAAATCAGACATCTAGGCCAAAGGCAGAAATGTCTTCAACAAACGATTCGATTATAATGAATTCTACAGTAATGATTCGATAGCAGATCCAATATCAAGAAAAAGAAATACCATTTCTATACTACACTTGATGTTACAACGTTCACAAACATCTGATAAAGGATGATAACAAAGCCAGTGTTATAATAGAAAAAATATTGTCAAATTTGGGACTGGTTGTTTGAATAATTATTCATTATAATTGCATTGTTTAGTTACTGAGTAACTAGATTACTATGTGTATACAATTCAATCCCATTAACTACGATTATACGACCTAATATTCTTAACTTATTGACAATCTATAAGTTGCAATCTGTTCTATTCAAAGCCACTTACAGCTTCTTCATTTATAATTGGTGTAATGTAGTCCAGTATATTTATATGCCCCCAAATGCCCTGTTACGGCCGAGAGTGGAGAGAGACCGATCTCCCTCTCGAAATGCTCTCACATGGCCACGCGTATATAGCCTCTGCTAGGGAAGTCCTACTCACTGCCTTCTCGTGGCGGGGGTGTTGTTCACGAAAATGAGAGGACGAAAAGCGAATGTCTAGCAGGGGCTTTAACCGGATCCCAAACCAACGGTGCACATGTGCTCCAGTATCCTGAAGGAACAAATGTAATATGAACCAATTGTTGGTCACCGGCTACCATGGGACTGCATCTCCTCACGATGCTCCACTGCCTTGTGGGTCAGATCTTCAGGTCGAAGGGTCGGGGTGTGGCCCCCTAAGAAAACCACCTGCTTCGGTTTGGGCACCCGGGCAGTATCACAGCCCTCACACAAATCAATTGAGATTCGTGTGGCGCATATGTATTTGGTGCCTCCCTGTACCTATACCTATGTGTTGAAATAAATATAAATAAATAAGTATATTTATATGTAGATCACGTTTGTTTGATATATTAATATTATAGAAGCTGGTTAATACTTTACAACTCAAGGCATAACTTAGAAACAAGCTTGTGAACAGTTGGTGCACCCTATTAGAAATTAGTGATCAGTTCAGGGTCAATAGGGATGGTCAAGTGTGTAGATCATCAATTCAGAGACACTAAGTTATATAATAAATAATAAGTCAAATTAAAATAAAGATTCTGATCGGTTATTTGGAACGTGATATTGGTCGGAGATTTAAACGACCTAACAATCCATTGCAAAAACAGAATACAGTTTAAATAAATCTTAAACATTGACAGATATTTAATAGTAGCAAGAACAATATACGTTAAATAACTTTTTAAAACCAAAAGTAATTTACCGATTCCACATTCTCAAGTTGTTCTGTATTCATTATGATCAACGACACTTTCAATAGAAGATATCAAAGAACCTAAAAATAGAGTCATAAACAATGGTGTATGTAAAACTCTTAACAATCATGTATTATTCATGATTATTGACAATATTCCATAGAAACTATTTGGTCGGAGGTTACAATGTTATATTTTTTTCAAAATGATAAAACAAAATCAACATTGTACTCGCTTGTCTAAGTTTTATTAGCTATCTACTCATAATAGATGCTTTAGAAGAGTGTTGTTTTCGCTTGATAGAATATTGTAAATGGGATTTACTTATTTATTTATTTGAACACATAAGCATTGGTACAAAGGGGTACCGAATAGATATGCTCCACACAAGTCGCGATTTGTGTGTGGGATGTGATACTGCTCGAATGCACAGACCAAAGCAGGTGATTTTCTTAGAAAGCCACACCCGGAACTTTCGACCTAAAGGTCTAGTCCACAAAGAAGTGGGGCAACGAAAGGAAATACATTTCCATGGTAACCGTTGACCAATAATTGATTCATATGCCATTTGTTCCCTCAGGATACTGAAGCCCATGTATACCATTGGTTTGGAATTAAGATTTTCAACTCCCCTACATGGATCCTCTATATCCACTAACCCAGTTAAAGTGTCGAATATCCGCCTTTTGTCCTCTCGGTTTCGTCAACAACACCCCCGCCGCGAAAAGGCAGTGAGTAGGACTTCCATAGCAGTGGCTGTAAACGCGTGGTCATTCGAGAGTATTTAGGGAGAGCGAGCTGACTCTACCCAACCTCGGCCATACCAGAGCATTTGGGAGCTGGTTGGATATACTGATATAACGACATTAATGTAGACAAACATTTAATAATACATTACTCAAAAAGCATTTATAACCATTAAAAAATATACGATTTCAAGATGATGCACAAGGCAGGGAATGATCGTTACAAATTCAGTAGCTTAAAACTAACGTATACCGGCAACACAAAACAGAAACGCAATGATAGGAAGTTTGAAATCATAATGAAATAATCATTCTTTAATCATTTTAGATGTCAAGATGACACGCTTTGTACTTGAGCGCTTAAAAAATCAACTTTTTAACGCACTTTCTAGTAATCCCCACTAATTTCTACCATTACACACCGAGTTGCAAACAAAAGGTAGAAGGTGTGGGAAGAATTTTAACAATGGAACTAAAGTATAAGGATGACCTTGAATGGTTTCTAATATGCCATTACTGTTGGGGTATTCAGAAAATACCCCAGAAATTATCTAATGCTATTCCTGAATGAGAAGTAGTGTCATTTCCCCGTTGGTCAACATTCTTCCAACGTGTCATCTCCTTATTGGTCAATATTTATTTGTGTCATTTCCTGAAGGTTAAATCTTGTACAAATGTTACTTTCTATTTATGGTGCGATGTAGTCTGTTTGTTTGGTATATAAACAGTGTATGTTTGAAATATAACGATTCATATCTCCGAGGCTGAGACTTGTGTTCTGGACTCAATTGGCTGGGCTAGACAGGGAAGCAGGACCAATCAGAGCTCTAGGCTGCTCGCTCGTGTTTTATGCGTCACTGTTTCGATCGATAATAGGCTGCTCTCTAATAGGCGGATCACACGTTATAACAATTACGAAATCTCTACCATTTATTCGGCCCAAAATAAGGTTAGGAATCAGTGTTGGGAATTAAGATTAGAAGGTAGGTTAAAAATGACATCAGTTATAGTGCATGAACCATTTGTAACCTTTCATAATTGAATGAGTTTCACAGACAAATGCCACAGGCGCTATATGAAATCTGATTAGTTCGTCTCCTATACTTCAGTCCCACTGCTTGAAATCCCAAGGTTTATTTGTGTACAGAAAACAAGGATATTTAAAGCATTGTGTGACAGTGATATTCTAGACGCTTTTGAAAAGCATACTAAAAGTGTTCACAAAAACAATTAATGTTCAGTCCGTTTAATAAAAACCCAATCTGTCATCATATAGAATTCTTTCGACAGTTTTTATAAATCACTGATTGATCAAAGTATATTCATAGTAGTTTCTTAACTCTCAAAAGCTTTTCCAATCACTTATCAATATCAATTCATGATGATAAACTTTAAGAAGGTAAATAATTTAAGTATTAACATATAAACAAAAAAACTACATCTCCCCCCCCCAAAAAAAATACACAAACACACACATACATACAGGACAAAAACATTTAAAGAATTCAACACACAAAAATATATGAAAAGTTCATCTGTTTATGTTTTTTTTCTTTAATTAAACATAAGATTACATCATATATATCATCATCCTATTGCACAAGCAGGTGGCTATTAGTACTCAGTAGCTAAGTAGATAACGCGATGGCGTTTTAAGCAAACGGTACTGGGTTCGAGTCCCAGAGTGGACAGTAGGTACATCTAGCTGACGAGTCTAAAATGGGACAAAATGAGCGTCAAACCGGATTCCACTGTTAGCCACTATCCATCTTTGTTTAAAAAGCTTGTGACTTCAAGCAATATCGAGGTAGTTCGCACAGAATGCACATATGCCAACAAGAGACTGATCAATTACAGTACTAAATAACAATAGGTAGATACAAGTACACAACACCAAGTGAATATCATCACAAAGTTTTCTGATAATCTTCGTCTTCTTATTGTACCATCGAAATTTATCAAATGGACTAATTGCTTTAAATTATCACTATCAATTCATGATAATAAACTTTAAGATAAACAATTGAGGTATTATCAGAAGAAGTTCTGTGGAGATTTTATTAATTTCAATAGTTGAAATCATGAGTCAATTGAAGCTAGACCATCATGAAAAACCTGGAAGCACTGGACGGCCGTTTCGTCCTAGTATGAGACTCCTCGGTAGTGCGCATCCACGATCCCCCCGCGAGATTAAAACCCAGGACTTATCAGTCTCACTCACGAGCACTTAACTATTAAACCACTGCTTCCAGGTTTTCCATGGTGGTCTAGCTTCAATTCACTCATGATTTCAACTATTGAAATTAAGGTATTAACACATAAACAGAAAAACTATATCCCCACCCCCATATATATATACACACATATACATACACACAAAAATATATAAAAAGTTTATCTACTTATATGTTTTATTTTCTTTAATTAAACATAAGATTACATCATAGTCATAGTTACTAATTTACAAAATTATAATACAATTTTATTACAGAAATGTAAACACTTAAAGATTAGTTCTACATTTCTTTCGTATTTTAAAAGTAAATATTTCTTGTTTTTCCAAATTAATATTTTCATTATTATTATTATTATCATTACGATTGACAACAATGGAAGTCGGTGTATTATTGGATGTCAACGATGAGTTACCAGGTACACCTAATCCGGTAGTCATAATCGATAATGATGATGGTGGTGGTGATGATGATGATGATGATGTAACATTTAATAATTTATTTGATTTATATTTTATAAATAAAGCAACAAAAAATCCATTTGTTAAATCTTTTTCAGATGATCTTATACATGATTCACATTGATATATATCAGATAGACCACGATGTTTCCATGTTGGTTGAATTATATCATGATTTATAGAATGTGAAGATATATATGGCCAA